CCTCCCTCCCTCCCTCCCTTCCTCCCTCCCTCCCTCCCTTCCTTCCCATCCTCCTTGTGGGCTGCCCTAAAAACCTAAGCACCACATATAATAGTTTTAAAAACAGACAACATTCTCAGTTCCAAATCACCACCAATTTACGAATAACATTTTGGAAGAAAACATGTCTGTAAACCGGGAACTTCTTATATGGCTACTGGCACCCTAAAGAATTTTGGAATCAGAATTAGAAAGGTGGTTATGTTCTTTCTTCTTGAAGATATCTAGGGAAACAGACATATGTCTAAGCGCAAATTCTCATGCTTTATTTTAAGTCTTTATCATATTCAGAATGGCCAACACATAAAGAATTCAGATGTGGCCTAAATCCTACATACACTTGAAGTTCTGAGTTAGGTTGCTATCATTATCTTCTCTTGTTCTAAACTAACTGACCCTGATTTCCCTTAATCTTTCCTTGCAGGCATTCTCCCTGCTCTTCGATTGCTATTCTCTGCTGCTCCATCAGGTTCTTCAAGCTACTCCTGATTCACCAAAAGGGACTAATATACCTTCAGGGCCTAAATGTACTAATATAGTTTAGTACATTTATATTATATACTAATATAGTTTGAAAAGAGTTCATATGTCTCTTCAGGAAAATCTAATTTGTTGCTGGGGGAGGACTTAGACAGGTGGACCCAAATCGTAAGATCTACAAATTAATGTTCCAATTCAAACTCCTTTAGAATTCCTTAATTTAGTAGTTCTGCTGCATTTGACCTGCAGACAGTTTCCAGGATTCCTATTACATAAAGATCAGATCTTATTTCAAAGCCACTCATATTTTCCTTTATTCTTTTCTTCCTTTTCCTCCGAATTCTTGAGTTGTTTTAGTTCATCCTCTTTCTTATTCATTGGGCTATTCTGTACTTTCCCTCCTGCTGGTCAGTTTTCCCTAATGCTTGCAGTTTTTAATTGAACAATCATGCTTCTGGAAGATTGAAGGATTAGTACCCATTTTCACCCTTTCCTGTATCTGCACCCTTTGCCCCATAACTCTGAGTTCCTTTCTCTAAAAGGTTGACTGTCTACCACCTCCCCTGGGTTTTGGGATTAGCCATTGACTTGCTTTGGCTAATGGCTCACGGGCAGTTCTGAGCCTACGCCTTTTGCCTGTTCAGCCCCCTTGCACCTCTGTCATTGCCGTAAAAGGAAATGGTCACGATTAGTTCATTAGTGCAGGGAAAATGAGAGCAGGCTCATCCAACCTACAGCTTAGAGTCTCTTAGCCAAGCTCGGCCAAAATTAGCAGAGCCAGGCCAGCCCATCCACAAAGACCTTGTAAGGCTGGAGGATGCTTTTGTTTACAATGAACCTTTAAAGCAGTTCAAGTGACTAAGAGTATGAGAAAGAACCAATGCTTGACTTCAGAAAAGTGTCTTAGGTGACTGAGTATCCTTTAAGGAAGGAGCGGGGAGAGCTCCTTTCTTCCCTTGGGACTGAAGCTTAAAGATGCTAAATACTGTAGAAGAGAAGTTGCGAGTAAGATGAAGGGAAGCAGAAACTGACATCTAAGGTAGGAAGAAACTCCTCCCTCAAGAGGCCCTAGGGAGGAAATGACGCCCACTGGCAGCCCTGCTGCTACAGAAAAGCAGCTCCAGGGAACACAAATCCTTCTCCAACAAATGGCCAATGCCCATTTGGCCGATGTCTAGCAAAGCCGTGGTTATGGCAGAAGGAAATGCCCCCTGAATCCAGGCCTAAGCATCCCACCCCCACCCCTTTAGGCTGTTATGATTTCTTTCCTTCTGGCTTGGGAATCTCTCTCTTAAATGGCCTCCAAGAGATTGCCTGCATGCATTGAATGAGCTCTTTCTTCTGTTGACTCAAAGGATAAAAAGAGATTCTCTTTATTTTTCGGAGTATGGTCATGCCCACCTGAACCACAAACCAGCTCCTAACTCTTATATCTCGCTCCAATGATTAATTTAGCCAAAACTGAGTCTTGATTTAAGACTCCTCTCCCACGTGTAATGGCTCATCACAGGTGAGAGTTACCACCTATGGGGCTAGAACAACAATATATTTGTATTCAAGCCAAACTGAAACTGCCAATGTAGTTGAAGACCACGTTTTCTGATGCCATTTAAGAAAACCAGAAAAGGTCACAGAACTGGTTTTATCCTACTTTCCAAATCCTGTCTGCCTTCCATCTGTAATAATACCTACTACATGAAATGAATGCACATGTCAGGCTCAGTGAGAAAAGATATCCAGGTTTTAAAAAAACAATTTTAAATCAAATTTTCTGCCTATCCATGTGCATACTGTCTCCCTCCATACCAGAGGGGGCCTGAAATTCTCATCCCTGTTTCTTCCTCCTGCCTAGAACTCCTCAGCAGTATAATGCTGCCCCATGTGAACCTGAACCATGGTTCCTGCTGTGAATAGACAGTGCCCAGGCCACTTGGTTCCTAGAATTTTGCCAACTTGGACTGGAGAGTAATTCCCCAGCCTCCCTCTGCCAGGCAGGGGTCCCAGCCCCAATCCTTTCATTCAACAAACAGCTATGGAGCATCTGCTTGGTGCCAGACCCATCTGGAGTGTAGTATAGTAAGAAAGAGAGAGGAAATGGACTGGAACTTTTAACAAGAGTAAAGATAAAGAGATGCTATACGGTATCAACTGTCACTGTAGCTGAAAGCACCATGGACTTGCCACTTTGAGACTTAAAAACAAACCTATAAAACCATGTCTCAGAGCTACCTTTTCCTCTCCAGTTTACTGTCAATATTTCCCATTATCCTTGGCTCCCTCATCTTGTCTAAGATGCAGCAAGCCGAGCCACTTCTGAGGAGAGGGAATCCCCAAGGCTCAGGACTCTGAGCTACTTCATTCCACCCCCTCCCCTTTCTATCTTCTGGGCTTCTAACATGAAGTCCCTTCTTTTCCTGGGGTTCTGGAGGTACTTGTCCTCACAAGCTTGATGTCAGTATTTACAGGATTAAAATTTCTTCTTCTAATGGTATATATATACACATAAACACACACACTAATATATAATTTAGCCTTTTCAATGTTATATATATATGCATATATATATTATTTAGCCTTTATCCTTTGTATTTTAAGAAAAAGTGCGTGTGTACGTGTATGTGTGTGTATGTATATGTACACATACACACACACACATGCACACACACACACCATATAAACTTTTTCTTAGCCAGTTTCCCCCACAAACAAAGCTTGGGCAAGCTGCTCTGAGAACTCTTTAAGGGGCGTAAGGGCTCAAGCAAAGTAGGGACACAGGCCTTTGGGGCTTACAGTCAGTCTGCTTTTCCCTTTGGTGATGCTATTGGGGTCCCCTAGGTACCCTCACCAGCTTCATTCACTCTTGGGTACAAATGACTGGTAGCAAGTTAGCTATTACTCTTTGTATTTTAAAAGAGCTCAAAACCTCAGGAGAAAGAGATGATCCTCTCCAAGGTGAGATTTCCAGCAGAATTTGGTGGGATAAGGTGGCAGGGGAGATTTCGTTCTAAGGCATCTCCACACACCATCTTCCCCCACCATCTCACTTCTCTGGCTGGGTGCCCTGGGACCTGGCGTGGCTACAGTTCCCAGGTGGAAACCTACATTTATTTTGCTTCTGTCTGAGCCTGGTCAGCCACTGGCCATAGAAAGGTCACTTATCTCCCAGACTGAAATGTTCAGAACCTGGTTGAGGACCATAAAGGAAGCAACTCACCCTCTGAGCATTGAAACTAGACAATACAAAGTTACTTTTTAGAGTCCAGGCACACAGCTCACAGAGGTGCCCTCAGTTTCAATTCCAAGACGCTTGGCTACAGTTTTCCCATTTCAAATTGATCAAATGTAGCAAATTTGACAACAGACCCACTAACAGCTAACAGCCTGAGCTCAAGAAGGAAAAAGACAAAAGCTGACAGAAGAACTCAAAAACGGGACATTTAGTGAAGGGGCAAGCTGCTTACCACACCTAGTTGGTCCATGAAGACATCACTGTACTGTGTGAATCCCAATACAATACTTAGTACTCAGGGTCAAAATTCTGGGTTATATGGAAAAGTTTCAGTGGCAACAACGTACCTACTCTGTTTAGGAAGATAATTCTAAAGCCCTAGGAAAAGGTGACGGCATTGAGAAACGCCCCCTAGAGGAGAGAGGTGGTTACTGCACTGTAAAGTCACAGCCTGGGGGCCTGGGCTGGAAACCACCTACCTCTGAATGTTACCTTCAAGTTGTTTGACTCTTAACTCATCCTCCTCAGACTGCCGCCGCCTGGCTTCCTCCTCTTCCGCAGTTCCAGCAGGTACACCCTGCAGCAGCCATTTTTCCCGAAGCACTTTGGACTGTGGGAATGAGCGAAGAGAACAGACTAGATGATACCTTTCGGTCCACACCCTCCTCTCCCTCCGCGGTGTCTCCATCTTAGCTCCGCCCCTCATCAGCGTCCACCTGAATCGCTTCTCACTACTTGGCCCCCTACTTGCCTCTCTCGCCTAAGGCCCAGAGAGCCGCCAAAAGGATTGATTTCCACTTTTCGATTATTAAAAAATTTGAAAACATACAGAAAAACAGAGGAAACTATATGATGCATGCCTGTGTAATCTCACCTGGATTTCACAACTATAAACATTTTGCCATATTTTCCCATATATTCTTTCCACCAAAGCATTTTAAAGTAAATAACAAACATCATGACATGGCACCCATAAATATTTTAGTACGAGTCTCTAAAAAATAAAGACATTTTGCTATGCAACTACAGTTCCATTATAACATTTCCTAAGATCACTGTAATATCCAGTCCATCTTAACGTGCTCTTTTTAAAAGATTAATCTATGTCACGCCTCTTCTTAAAAACTCATTTTTAATGACTCCCAACCAACCTCAGCAGTTGTCTCTTAATGGTACTAAAATTATGCACCCCACCTGTGTCGGTGTCCCAATATAATCATGGAGTAAAATGAGAAGTTTCCGTGTTTTGGGTCAGTGGTTAGGAGGGAGTGACTGACTAGTGCTTTGAGAAGGGAAACGAAAACAGCTCAAGAGAAAGGCATGTTGAAACTCCCTAAAATGAAGAGCAAAGCATGTAAGGCATAGGAGAGGATTTTTGATTTGGGTTACCTAGATGTCATTTGGTGGTTACTGGATGTTTGCCAGAGGCTGGACATCATGGCTGAGCATCCCTGTGGGAAGGTCGGCGGTCATGGGAATGGGCCACTGTGAGGATGCATCACCAATTCTGCCAGAAGAAGGGCATGCGACAAGTTCTTCCCAGCAAGGACTGGAATAATGGCCTTGAAGCCAGTCAACAGAGTAAGTGCTAGGTTCTCTGGCTCCCTGGCATCCCCTCTATCTGAATCTCATTTGATCTCATTAGTTAGGGTGAGGAAGTGAAAGAAAGGGAGCTCTCATAATGACTAAGAGCCAGGTCATGCATGGCTTGGAACCAATTAAATATGATTTACGGAAGTAAGAGAATGTGGACTATGTCTCTAACATTGTGGACACACAATTCAGATTACTGGTTTCCTTTCGATAGCTCTTACAAGCAAAAGATACACAAGTCCATAGACTCATTTTACATGGGATTAAGGGCTATTTATTATGAACCTATAAAATGAGTCACTAAAAATTACTAATATTTAGTAATAGTAAATTAGAATTCATTAATGGTTCTGATCTGCCATTCTACTGAGAAGTCAGGCAACCATTCAGCAGCATGAAGCAAGATGTACAGGAGCTGGATGCACAGGAGCAAGTTCTGGTGGCTGGAATTCCTGCACTTCTGGTTGGACCTTTTGTTAGCAACGCATCGTCAGGGTGGTGTTCAGGTGGCCATAGCTTTCACTGGTGTTATTCTTCCTTTTGAATTACAAGTCGTTGGTGAAGATTTGTTTGGTCACTCTTAGAGTGCATAATTATAGCTCTTGACCTGCAGCTTTCCCTTCATTAAAATGCCAGTTTGTTCACATATGATTCTTAACTGTACTGCTCAAGTGACTGCAGACAGGAGCCACCCTCTCACCCCAATGTGCTTAAACAGTTGCACAGCCTTGCTAACATGTTGCCAGTAAATGTGTTATAAATAGTTTGCAAGCAGCAGAAACTAACACACCATTGTAAAGCAATTATACTCCAATAAAGATGTAAAAATAAATAAATTAATTTAAAAAATAGTTTGCAAGGACTACTCAGAAAAGTGTAAAAAAATACTTAAAAATTTATAGGGCATTGTTTAATAATATAAAATCATGTGTGAAAGCTCCCGGTGCAATGTGTGTATGTTGGTGGCTCTCCTGTGGGCTGAATTGTGTCCCTGCCCCCAAATTCATACGTTGAAGTCTTAAGCCCCACTACTGCAGAATGTGACTATTTTGGAAATAGGGCTTTTAAAGAGGAAATCAACGTTAAATGAGGTCATTGGGATGGGCTCTAATCCAATATGACTGGTGTGCTTATAAAAAGAGATTAGGACACAGTCAAGCACAGAAAGATCGTGTTAAGACACCTGAGGAAGACAGCCATCAACAAGCCAAGGAGAGGGCATTAGAAGAAACTAACCCTGCTGATACCTTGATCTGTACTTCTAGCCTCTAGAATTGTGGCAAAATACATTTCTGTTGTTTAGGACACCCAGTCTGTGGAATTTGTTATGGCAGCCCTAGCAAACTACTACATTCTCCAAAGCTTTATTACAGAGATTCCTCCCACCCCTCACTGGAAAGTGGGAATGGGTGGGGTAAATTGGTTTCTCTTCCTAAGTGGGCTACAGAAGGAAAAAACAAACAAACAAACAAAACCCTCAGAACCACCATTCTTCACTCAAGCCACTCAAAATTCTCCAGGGAGATCACACTCGCATATGCCAAGAGACCAGGTTGAACAATGGTTAACAGTCTGGATTCTGGAGCCAGTCTGCCCTTTACTAGCTGTGTGACCTAGGACAGGCCCTTAGCCTCACTGAGCCTCAGTTTCCTCATCCGTAAAATGGACACAACAACTGTGCTCATCTCAGAGGTGTGTTATGAGGATTTAAATGAGTTCATACATTAAAAGTGCTGGGTCTATACTTAGTACCATAGGAATGTTTATTCTCGTCCTGCTCCCTTGGTCTCTCCTCTTTTCACCTGAGAAAGAGCAGGTAAAATGCCACCTGAGAAGCCCTCCTCCACTTCTGCTGGCAGGATTAGTGTCTCCTATAGTGGAGAACATATTCTAGAGCATTCTTTATTTTTAAATTTTTATTTATTTATTTATTTGGCTGCACCACATGGCTTGTGGGATCCTAGTTTCACGACCAGGGATTGAACCCGGGCCACAGCAGTGAAAACGCCAAGTCCTAACCACTGGACCACCAGGGAACTCCTAGAGCATTCTTTAGATTGCCCTCAAATTATTTCTTTTTATATCTGCCCCCCCGTAGACTCCCAGCTCCTCAATGGCTAAGACCATTCCTTATTCAGTTTTGCATCTCATTGTCTCACCCGGCTCAGTTCCAGCCAATGAATGAGTGAATGGGTGAACTGGAAAATTCTCGATTGTCTTTCACTCTGATTACTTGGGAGGAAGGGGTCACCCTTTCAGAGAGCTTCCTGTGCTAAAACGTTTGACATTAACCTAGTTCCACCCATGGAAGGTAAAAACCTCAGGATTTTGGGAGACTGACATGCTGGCAACCTCAGACTTGGTGTGTGGACCCTTCTGGAAAGGCAGCCATGGAGAGTCCCAGTTTTCTATGCCCCAGCAGGAGATGCTCTACAAGCCAGGGCTTCTTGAAATGCGAGGAAGTGGCTGATTTTGGGAATGTTCTGTCTGCTCTTCTTCAACCAGTGCCTCCTGCCACCAAGGGAAGGGTTGAATTACCCCACCCCACCCCATTTTCTGGCTGATTTAGCCCCAGCCATTGGTCAGTACCTCTGACAAAAGCAGCCTGGTGACCATGAACACCAAAAGCATATGTGCCCCCAGATCTGTCTCCTCGCTGGATACAGCAGTGACATCACCAAAACATCTGCAACAGCTGGAGCTAGGAAGAGAGGATCTAACAGAACAAGACAGTGGGCCTGGTCTCAGGGAAGGTGTTTCACAAAGGTGTTCTGACATTACAAAAACAAAAAAGCTTAGTTGAGTTTTCACTTGGCCCCAAAGTAATTGCTGTCAGGGAAAACCACCAATTCAAATCCATTTGCCTCCAGAGGCTTCCTTAACCTACTCCAGATCCCCTCGTCTTGTACCCTAGAGCTGACTGTGTTAGGGCCTCGGATGTAAGGCACCTGTGCGTACTGATCACGCACGTCCGCCAAAAGCACCACCTTCCCTGTATCGCTCTGGCTCTCATTGGCCGCCTGAGTGTTTCAGAATTTAGTGACAAGTAGAGCTCAGCAGAAGTGAAAACTAAAACCAAAAAGTTTTCTTTTCTTATGCCCTTATTGTCCAAGTAACAAACATCAAAAAAAAAAAAAAGTCTATCAAAGCGTGCAGGTACTAAGAACTGTCAAAACTTCGCATTTGTCAAGTGGAGGCAACTGTGAAGAGTCAAGACAAAGAAGCAGCAGACGGGGAGCTGCCAGTTGACACACGGAGTCTTGACAGGGCTCCTGAAAGGCCGATGGAGAGACCTCCTGAAGTAAATCTGGTTCTTGCTCTGTGGGCTGGTCCAGCCTCGGAAAACAAAATTAGAACAGAGCCTCTCAAGCTTACAGTCTGTATGAGGATTCCCAGGAGGGCCTGCTATAACACAGATTCCAGGGCCCTGTCCCCAGAGATGTTGACTCTGTGAATTGGGGATAGGGCCTGGGAATCTGAATTTTAACAAGCTCCCAGGTGATGCTGTCACTGATGTCGCCAGACCGAGGACCACAGTCTGAGTAGCACTGCATAAGGACTACCCAAATGGCTGAGGAATGCAATAAGCTTTCCCGCTGGCTAGCCAACAGGAACTACTCATCCTCTTGCAAACCTGTCTCTCCTCCTGCATTCCCCATCTCAGGAACAGCAGGGTCCCCATCCATCCCCTACATGCCAGGCACTCTGCCAGGTCTGAAGACACCTCTCAGGAAGACAGGCAAGTCCCCACTCTCACCAAGTCTTCATTCCAATAAACATGGATGCAAGATTATTTCAGACTATGATACATGCCTGGCAGGAGGTCGGCAGGATGATGTGACAAACAGGGACCGAGGGAGGACACTTTAGGTGGGAAAGATCTCTCTGAGTACTTAAACGTTTGAGCTGAGATCTGAGATGCCAGGAAGGGCATTCAAGGTGGAGGGATGACAAATGTCATAGCTGGGAAGTGGGACAGAGTTTGGTGACCTTCAAGATTGTCTAATCAAACCTTTT